TATATATATATATACACCATAAACAAGAACCTAGCCACTACAGCTCAGGTTCGGACTATAAATCAAATTTAAACATCCACCAGCCAGTCCGTTAAACGCGACTGGCACCCACCAAAGCCATGGCCAGTTTTATAGCATTTTTGAAACCAATATTAAAAATGTACAAACCGACGTTGGGCAAATGTACTCCATCTGGCCTACAAAGACTTGGCAGGTCTTTGTAGCCCTTCCAAATCCAAGTGGCGATATGAAAAACAAGAATAATGAACCATACATTTTCAAATAAATCTATTGAGGCATTTTTTATTTTTTTCCAAATGATGCATTTTGGGAGAATCTTTCCAAATGAACCTATAAACAATTTCCCAAAAAACTATAAATCAAAGAAGTAAAAGCCATTTTCAAATGATAAAGGTCGTATTTAACCGCAAAAAGAATATCCAGGGTCTTAAAATTACCCAAGTTTTTACCACCCAAATGAACCAATAAGATATCGGGATGCAGCCAGATCTTTAATAAATGGAAAAAAAGGGAGATAAACTCGTACCAATACATCCCTCGCCGCCCAAACTAAAATACGCGAAAAGGACGTAGGTCGAGGCCCAAGTTTTCGGTATAAATCCTATCACCTGCCCTCTTCCAGGCCCAGTATAAGAAAGCGGAACTGTGGTGTCAGGACGAAAAGACAACCTGCGATAGTCTTTCAAAGAATGACGAACAAAAAAGAAAAAAAAACAATTAAGCAATTTCAAGAAAAATTAGATTCCGGACAAAGTCTTATGACTATGCAAGAAAGAAGATTTCATAACTAACATTCGATCAATAAATAGTTAACTCTTCAGAAATCAGAGCAGAACAATCAGAAACAGAGGAAATAAAATGCAACCATGAGTCCCAAGTTGCTAAATAATTCGCCCACGTAGATGGAGCCACAGAACACTTGATGAAATCTATAACCAAAGTCAAACTATGTCCCACATATGATAAGGCAGGTGATTCCCGTAACAGACGCCTCCGTTGCTAACTCCTGAAACCTGCAAAACTGAAACTGAGAAAAAGCATCAGCCAAAACATTATTCTTACCAGGTAAATATTTTGCCTTAATCCATAAATTAAGATTCCTCAGCACTCGGCAACCACTTGTATCTTCCTCAGCCCACCCCAGTTGCTATTGGCTAAGAGGGGGAGTGCAGCACTGCCATTGGCTGCTCATGTATTTTAGCAGAGTAGGGACAGAGAAGACGCATCAAAGCTGCTTGGGGCTTCACATGGGAGAAACTTCGCTGTGTCCACTCACCACCCGGAGAGGAAGAAGAGGGCATGACAGAGCACATGATCTAGTACATCAAAACTGTAAGTCCCTTTCTATCTTATACCGCACTTTGATCCGCACTTTGCGTTTTATTTACACAGCCCTGGTGTTTACTGAAATTGAAAAGCTTTGGAGAGTTTTTCCTCTCTTTCTCAAGTCTGAAGCAATACCTAAGGAAGAAAGA